CCATTGTTCCCATTTCATTTGTAAAATCTTCTCCATTATTTTCATTTGAATTGTTGAGGATTTTCACAGCAACAAGAAATTCAGAGGAAAGCTTCCCTTTAAAAACTGTTCCATAGGCCCCTTGCCCCAACTTGTCCTTGAATTGATTTGTTATCCTCTTAATATCAGCATAGGAATATCTGCTTGGCTTCTGAGCTATGTAATCTTCCAAAAATCTTTCAATTCTCAACTGATTTGTTTTCTCTGTTTTGTTGGGGCTGTAGGCATGGTAGATGATGAGAGCCCCCACTGCAATAAAAGCCACAGAAACTGTGCAAACTGCAGATAGAGATGACACAAATTAACCTAATTATATTTTATTCAGATTTATACATCAACACAAGTATTTTAATTTGTGGACAACTCACCTGATATCTTTATGCGTGTCCCTCTATGGCTACTATCTGTAAAAGTTGTTATTTAAGCTAATAAGTACTTTTGCTATGAAATCGATAAAACTAATCAGATCGAATTTGAATGACTGAAAATAAATAATATTTGCTTGCAAAGTACTGCAACAAAGCCAAGTTTAGTTAAATGATACCTTCAGCGAAATCTAAACATTCTCTTTCTGCAGTCTTATTAACACGTGCAAGACTATATTCACTAATCTTTGATCTACATGCCTTGCCCATCTCTTCGCAATGTCGACATGATGGTTTGGACCAATGCAACTTCATTTGGGATGATATGTCTGGAATTGATGTATAGTCATGTAGCTTGGTACAAGACTCTAGGGGCAGTCTATCAATAGAACATTGAGACTTGACAGCATATGTCTGGTTTTCAGGATCTTTCTGCTCAAAGCGGTAAGATCCCAGTTCCATCCCACAAAAATCGCCGTAGTATCTTGCTTCAGAAAATGGGCAGCTAAATAGGGTATAATTATAGTTATTGTGTCCAGGCACAAATTGTAAGGGAGAAGAAGATAAACTGAAGTTTCTGACCAAAAAAAAAAAAGAAGATAAACTGAAGTTAAAAATATTTCCCAATGGGTCAGATATTTCAATCTCCTGAGATGCGTAGTTAATCTTTTCAACGAAGAGGTTGTTAGATGAAGATGGCATCTCGAGCAGAGTCTGGTTGTCGTCAGTGCATGATAGATCAAAGCCATGGTAACCGCAATGGGTTGACTGCTTACCTTTACCTTTAATAAGTCGAAATGGGAATCGGATGGCTGGGCCGTCCGGTTTACATCTTGCTTCTCTGCAAATTATTCCGCCATGGACTGCATCGACATCTAGCACTATGAGCAACCAGCATAAGAAATTGATCAGAAGCATTATTCTAACAAAAAAAATGGCTTGCAGCATTCCGGTCTCTTGCTAAGTTATTAATTAATATAGCATGATTGGTTTTATGATGGATGAGTCTCCAGCATAGTAGCCGACAATGGGAAGTGTAATCCCTGCAGCATTGACAAAGTGTAATCCCAGCTGAGGACTTTTGACCCCTCAAGGTCTTTGGTCTTGCACAATGCCAAGAAAAAGAAAACGGATTGGTGGGCAAAACAGTCTATTCGCAGATGATTAAAATATTCATTTATAAAAATTGATATATTTAGTCTATCATTGGAGTGCTTTTCGCGGATTGGTTGACAAAACTATCTATATATTTTAGTCATTATTCATAGATATAATAGTTTTATATTAAAATTTATTAAACGATTTTAATATTATTTTTTATATTAACAACACTTTAAAAATATTGTTTACCAAATATGGAGCTATTTTACTTTATAGTTAATAACTTTCAAAGTACAGCAAAAATAATTTTTTTATTTAAGTAACACCAATTCAAAACAGGCCCTTAATGCAATGGCCTTTATTAAATAGGACCTCACATTACCTTATTTTTAGATCCTTAAGTAAGTGGGACTGTTTTATTAAATACGACTTATATTTTATTAATTTTTATCTAAATTCTTTTGAAAAATTAGGTGACAAAATGGAAAATACGCTAACACTTTCATCACTGATTGAAAACGAGTCTAAAGATAATGTGGTCCAGTCTAATTTAAGCATCACATTGTTGTTGACTCATAAATATCAATCAGAGAGCACATGCTGGTCAAGTGTGAATGTAGAAAAAACGGAACAATATAAGTTAGGAAAAAAAAACGTTAAATATATGTTGACTGCAGACCCAGGTCTTGGTCTTGGTCTTGGTCTTCATTCTACTTATTTAATATTCAACAATATTTAATCTACTTTGTAAAAATGGATCGAATGATATGACGGTTTCTTTCTTTTTTCTTTCTTTAAACATAAAGCGTTCCTCGACTTTTCATTACAAGACCATAAGTCATCTTTTGAAAATATTGATTTGATAGGAAAATAGATATATTCATTATATATAGTTTGGTAATTAACAAATTCACCGCCTAAGGGCATCTCCAAAGGAGATGTAAAATGCAAAATGTTAAATTTGAATTTGATAGCTTATGTGGCAACTTGACATTTTGGAAAAAATTGAACTCCACATGAAATACCAAATATCAAATTATGTTATTATATTTTTAAAAGCAAATGGGCTCATATTTTATAATTATATGAAATTACCTATAGGAGGACTAAAAATGCCTAGAGGGGGTGAATAAGCCAATTTAAAATTATAATCAATAAACACAAATAAACTTCAGTAATAGGATTGATATGGCCTATCAATCCTGAAACGTACTGAGCATAAAATAAAGGAACACGCAGAGAATTATTTTACGTGGTAAAACCCCACCTTTGGGGAAAATCCACAAGACTCCTTAGTCCAAAAAAAATCCACTATAGAACGATGATTACAAGAAGTACTCACACACTTATCCCAGACACATTCTAGATAATGTTTACCGACTTCTTCGTAACTCAACTTCTGTCACGGGATGATCTGTCGACACTCCTTATGTTGAACGCAATACTGGTCATGATTGCTTCAAGTTCGCCGGAGAAAAACCACCACCACGGTCTTGGTACCCTCAACCATATGAGTCATTGAACATGCAAATGAATTCAATATGAATGATGAAAGTATTTGATAAATCACCAAGTATACATGAAACACTTGATGAGACATATCTCAAAGATATACACATCAGCTTTTCTTAGGAATTCTAGATACTCAAAACAAATATATCAAAGCTGTGTAAAAACCAAGAAGAGTCATGCCATATCTTTATACAGACATGTTGTTCTTTTTTCAAAAGAAACTACATAAAGCCAAGAGATCCATATCATATTTGATTCTCTTAAAAATCCAATTCAATTTCGTCAGCCCATGCAAACTTCCAATCCCATTAGTTTATACAAGGAAACCATGTTAATCAATGAAACCAATTTGGGTATTAAAAGAAACATGTTCTTCCGGTCAAATATGAAAAATGATATTTTTACTTAAGCCAAAATAAGGTCAAATTAGGAAAATAATCTCAAGAGATAAAATTTAATCCTATTAAAAATAGGACTAATAATATAAAAGCACTTGAGTGAAAATAACTCCAACTAGGAATCCTATAATGAATGCATGATTATGTCATTATTTACTTGAAATCAAGTTCCTCGTATCGATCAAGTCATACTTCGAAAATCCAGGATTGAATGTGCTGAGCCAAAACTTTCAGTAAAAGATATTTACACACTAATTCCCGACTTATGCTAGAGTCTAGGAAATGCCAGTACTGTCATATCCCGGGATCAGCTCCGCCATAGCACGATATTGTCCGCTTTGGGTCCCCCCTCTCTGGCCCTCACGGTTTTGTTTCTTGGAGCTCACGAGCAACTTCTCAGTGGGTCACCCATCCTGGGATTGCTCTGGCCCCCAACTTGCTTAACTTCGGAGTTCCCATGACTCCGAAGCTAGTGAGCTCCCAAAAGGCCTTGTGCTAGATGGATGCGGGCATGTACATATAAGGCACATTACCTCCTCTTTGTTGGTCGATATGGGATCTTACAAGTACAATTTTCATACTAACAATCTCCCCCTTTGGCATTTCCTAGAAAAAACACCTATTACAACTCAAAAGAAATTGCACGAGATATAACAAATGAAATCCTACTCTAAACTCGAAGCTCGGAATCCCTGCACATTATGAAACAACAAAACCAGTGAAGCATGTGGGAGAAGAAATATAATTCAAAGCAAAATTACAACATCACTCCCCTTTAATTCTACAACACAATCTCTCTCCCTTTTTAATATAATTTCACACAGTCATCTCTCCCCCTTTTTGTCAGGAAATCCGAAGGGCAAGAAAAGAACATAAGGGAGCATATATATATATATATACTGAGTATAGAGCAAAAAGAGAGAGAATGGAAGTGAGAATAAGAGTGAAGATGAGATTGGAGTATAGAACAACTTTATTTATATACTGATATACATCATATAAATATTTTATTGTCAATTTACTGTGTTCACTGTCCATGGTACATGTAAACACCCTTCACTGTCTCTTTTCAATTATCATAATAACGTTGTGCATTAATTTTTTTATTTGTAAGACATAACAAATTATTGGAAACCTCACCCTCCATTTGGATGAAGTAATTGAAATTTTCAAAGAATTCTAAAATGACGGAATTTAGATTTCCACAATTTCAATTTTTGGTAATTGAAGATTTCAGTATTTGGATTTATGTATGTCGAATTTTGTAAATAACAAAATTTTGTAAACGGCACCATGAAAATTGTGAAATGATGCCTATATTGGTGGAAATTAAACTAGGGAATTTGATGCCCCAATTCCCACGATTTTTTCCTCGTGTCATTTAATAAATTCCACGCTTAAGTTGCCAAACAAGGGAATTGTCAATTTCTCCTCTTAAATTCATGACTTTTAGCCAAATTCTAAGTTATTTTCCCTCATCCAAACGAAGGGCCAAGGTCTTTGGTCTTGCACAATGCTAAGAAAAAGAAAAAGGATTGGTTGGCAAAACAGTCTATTCGCGGATGTTTAAAATATTCATATTTAAAATATTGAAGTCTATCATTGGAGGTTTTCACAGATTGTTTGGCAAAACTATCTATATATTTTAGTCATTATTCACAGTTACAACAGTTTTATATTAAAATTTACCGAACGGTTTTAACACTTCTTTTTGTACTAACAACACTTTAAAAATATTATTTACCAAACATGGAGCCGTTTTACTTTACAGCTAATTATTTTCAAAGCACAGCAGAAACAACTTTTTTTTAAAGTAACAGCAATTCCAAACTGGCCCTTAATTCAATGGCCTTTATTAAATAGGAACTCACATGACCTTATTGTTAGGTCCTTAAGTGAGCGAGACTATTTTATTAAATATGACTTATATTTTATTAATTTTTCATCAAAATTCTTTTGAAAAATTGGGTGATAAAATGGAAAATGCATTCACATTTTCATCACCGATCAAAAACGAGTCTAAAGATAATGTGGTCCAGTCTAATTTAAGCAGTTGATACTGGGTCACATTATTGTTGACTCATAAATGTCAATCAGAGAGCACATGCTGGTCAAGTGTGAATGTAGAAAAAACAGAACAATATAAGTTAGCGAAAAAAAAAATCTAAAATATATGTTGACTGCAGACCCAGGTCTTTGGTCTTGGTCTTGGTCTTCTTTCTACTTATTTAATATTCAATAATATTTAATCTACTTTGTAAAATTGGATCGAATGATATGACGGTTTCTTTCTTTTTTCTTTCTTTAAACATAAAGCGTTCCTCGACTTTTCATTACAAGACCATAAGTCATCTTTTGAAAATATTGATTTGATAGGAAAATAGATATATTCATTATATATAGTTTGGTAATTAATTAATTTGCTGCCTAAGGTCCCGTTGGAGATTGCTTTTTTCAGTAAAAAATCTGCTTCACTTTAAAGTTAAGCAATTTAAGGTGTTTGGTAAAAATAAAATATCCCGATTATTTTAAAAGCAGTGACCTTTTGACAGCAGGTTTTAAAAGCAGGCTCTGGGCTGCTTTTCAAAGTTGCTTTCAAAAGAAGTAGAGATGAACCTTTAATGAATTTTTTTAATTCCCAAAATACCATCATTCATTTTAAAAAATGACACCACCTCCACTTCCACATCTAACTCCACCACTTGCATCACCACATTCACTACCTCCACAACCACCGCCACCGCCACCGCCACCCATCACCACCACCGCCACCACCATCATGACTTTTAGCTAAATTCTGAGTTATTTTCCCTCATCCAAACGAAGGGCCAAGGTCTTTGGTCTTGCACAATGCCAAGAAAAAGAAAACGGATTGGTTGGCAAAACAGTCTACTCGCTTATGTTTAAAATATTCATATATAAAAAATTGAAGTATATCATTGGTAGGGATGACAATTTTCCCTGTGGGTATGGGTCTTTGTGGGGATTCGACCCTAATGGGTCGGGTATGAAGGATAAAAAACGGGTATGGGAATGGGTATGGAGAATTTTTTGCGTATAGTGTTTGGGGAGGGGCGGGGATGGTATTTTAATCCCTGACCGAACCCTCCCCGTTTATAATATATATATAAATATGATATTAAAGTGACTGTGCTGAAATTTTTTATATTTTATATTATTATATTATATATTTATTTAATTTATATGAATCTTAAGCCACACTACTTATATATTTAGTTAAGTTCTAGTCAATATGTAAACATTCTTATATTGTCTTATACGTATATATTATATATATATATTCATTATCTTGCCCTAATCCTTTTTTTTTTCTTCAACAAAGTAGTTTTATATTGGTTTTTTCTTTAGTAATGGGGCGGGTCGGGAAACCCATTCCCCAATGAAGGTGGGGATGGGGAATCCCCAATGAAGGTGGGGATGAGGAATCCCCGATATAAATATTGTGGGTATGAAGGCGGGGATGGGGGAAAAAAGCTTAACGAGGATGGGGATGGGGATGGGGATGGGAATGGCATACCCACCCCCGATTCGACCCATTGCCATCCCTAATCATTGGAGTGGTTTTCGTGGATTGTTTGGCAAAACTATCTATATATTTTAGTTATTATTCACAATTACAACAGTTTTATATTAAAATTTACCAAACGGTTTTGACATTGCTTTTTATACTAGCAACACTTTAAAAATATTGTTTACCAAACATGGAGCTGTTTTACTTTATAACTAATTATTTTCAAAACACAGCATAAACAACTTTTTTTAAAAGTAACAGCAATTCCAAACCGGCCCTTAATCCAATGGCCCTTATTAAATAGGACCTCACATGACCTTATTTTTAGATGAGCGGGACTGTTTTATTAAATATGACTTATATTATATTAAATTTTCATCTAAATTCTTTTGAAAAATTGGGTGATAAAATGAAAAATGCATTCACACTTTCATCACTGATTGAAAATGAGTCTAAAGATGATGTGGTCCAATCTAATTTAAGCAGCTGTGATATGTCAATCAGAGAGCACATGCTGGTCAAGTGTGAATGTAGAAAAAACAGAACAATATAAGTTAGGTTAAAAAAAAATCTAAAATATACATTGACTGCAGACCCAGGTCTTTGGTCTTGGTCTTGGTCTTCTTTCTACTTATTTAATATTCAATAATATCTAATAGTTGAGTGAAAACGCAGAGTTTTATTGTTTAAGAGAACTAGAGGAAGGCAAACCGAGAGAAAAGAAGTGAAGTGAGGCAGAGAGCAGAGAAGAAAAGGAGCTGCTGCTGTAGGAGAAGAAATAAAATTCCAGTCGTTTTCTTCTTCATTTCGTGCTGCACAAGGGCGTTGTTCTAGAGACACTATTCTTATTTGCCTCTCTTTTATTCTCTCTTGTATTTGTGAGTGTGAACTTGCCTTCAAATGGTCATTTCTGAAGTCACTCCTTTCTTATTTGCCATAGGCATCTAAGTTGTCTAATTAATATGCCCTCTTCCTTAATTTCGATAAATTCCTATTGGATTGAATGCCTCTTCCCTTCCTCCTAATATTCTCTCTCACTATGTCTAGAGTAAGTCTCCTATTTGCTGCACACATAGCCCTTCTCCTTCTCCTTGTTCCTCCTTCCTTCTGTGCCCTTTGTGGCAATATCAACATAACGAATCCATTTCAATTAAATGGAGACCGTCAAAACTGTAGCTACGGGTACAGCACTTTTGACTACAACACTTTTGAGCTATATTGTGAGGAAAATGTTACAGTAATATGCTTGTATTCGGGAAAGTATTACGTAAAGGCGATCAATTACAGTGACTGGACAATCCGAGTTGTGGATGCTGGTGTTCAGAAGAAAGACAACTACTTCTCCAACCCACTTTACTCTTTAACCTCCTACAACCTTAGTGCTCGTGGAGATCCTTTTTCATCTATTTTTTATAATAGCGACAAAGATATTCTAGAACTCCGACTGTATAGTCTAGCGATACGTGAAGTGTCTATAATTTTTATCAGCTGTGCAAATCCAATGCATTCTCCTCGCCTTGTTGATACAGCTCCATGCATCAACAATTCTGCCAATTCTTCTTTGTCCAGTACTTTAAGAATGTTTTCTTATGTCATGATTGGCTTGAATGGCTCCATAATAAGTCCATTCGATTTGGGGGAGTCCTGCAAAATAACACAAATGGTTGTGGTGTCACCTTCAACATCTACAGATCTGCACCGGAACTTGTCCTGTGAAGGTATATATAATGAAATAGCGCACGGCTTTGAGCTCTCATGGTTTAACGCTTCATGTTCCTTAAAATGTGGAATTGGGGCAAACTGTAGGGCCAACGAGGGTAAAATCGAATGCCCTTCAAAAGGTAAAGTGCATCTGCTAATGATTTCACTTATTCAATAATGCTAGCTAGAGTCAACATATTTGTTCTCTCTCCGCCCAGATGATGTCAGTAATAAGCAGCGCTGTTAAATATCTTCTTCACCGCCCACCAAGCCTTGTTTATTCATTTGACTACTGTTTTTTTTAAAAAGTATATTTTAAGAAAAGAGCGATATTATTATTGCTTGATAGAGGGAATAAGTAACAGTACCAAAAAAAATCGGACCATGTCGTCGGGATTAGGCGAGTTTATCTACACATATAGGCTTGGTCATCAGGTCGTCGGACTAACTGAGTAATCTTACCCACTCAACTGCAAAGCGGGGGCAGGAACCTAACCACTGATAGAGTACCCCATGTCCCCCTAAGATCATGCCCGTAGAAAAATTACATGTTACATTCCTCAAATAAGAGATCACTAATAAACTCTAGAGGTTCCTCGAACCAAGTAACGGTAGAACCCACCCATTTAACTTTAATTCTTCATATTTGGTTAATTTCCTTAGTCGCCAATTTCTCCCTTGATTGTATTTTTGACTTGTATAGGTTACCATTCTTAGTTTCATTGTCTTGTATATCGAGCTTTGCCCTTTTAAATAGACACAGAATCATTACCGAATTATTTCACATTAACATGGTATCAGAGCATGCTCTCTATCCTTGGTTAATCCCGTGAGAAAGATAAGAATGTGATGGATATGAAACTTTACACATTGACAAGATTTTGTTGTCAAATAACATTTCACGCTGTTCTCATGTGTGGAAAGGACATGTAGGCTTTTGCTTCCATCTGTGTACACATTCATATATTACAGCCATCTACTATAGATATATTATGTTAGAGATACTTATGTATCAACTAAGTACGGGAGGCTAGTTTATGGTGTTTTCACTACAAATAATTTGGTAGTCAAAAGGAGACTATGACATTGATTTCTAATATGTATATGTATTATGATCTTTTTGTATGCAAATATGAATCTTATTTTCTTTTGCAATGCAGAACATTTGTACAAGGAGATCTTACGGGGCATACTCGATATAGCAGGCAAAGTAGCCGACTCTCTAATCCAACTTATTACATATAATTCAAATGTTTTGTATACTTAATTGAATTATGAATTAATGATTGAGTTTTTCACTTATGTTCCAGAATACCTGTATGCCTTTGCGCTCACCCACAAGTGCTACAATGTCCGCCTTCAGTGGATGATTCCATTAACCTGTGTAATCTCTTACCTAGGTAATGTGAACTACTTGAAATCAGTTACTGTGTAGCATTTTTCAGTTTTAGCTATTGATAACTGAAGAATAAAAGCATTTTGTTTTTTTT